CCATTTTCGCGGAAACTAGCAGAGCCTAAAATTTCTCATTACAGTATTTAATTAGCCTTTGATGTATTCACAACGACTGTACTATCAGAGCACTGATTTTCACTGTCTGACAGGTTTTTCCGCCATGTTCTGCTGACATTACTCACATCTCGCCACTTTTCGCATTTTCACAAAAAAAGTAATTGAGCCTGAAATTCGCGATTGATGTAGGTATTTCCAGAGCCCTTAATGGGCCTTTAATGTCGGTGCATGTGGAATTGAAATTTTCTTTGTTTTAGCCACTTTTCGCTCATGTTCTGCTAGCTTAAGTTAAAGCTAGCAGAACAGTCATTTTCTCGAAAATTTAAGGAGCCTAAAATTTCTCATTACAGCATTTAATTAGCCTTTAATGTATTCACTACGACTGCACTATCGGAACGTTGATTTCCACCATCTGAGAGGTTTTTCTACCATGCTTAGTCGACATCACTCACACATCGCGCACGATTGGTGTATTTTCAGAGCCTTCAATGAGCCTTTATTCAATCAATCAATCAATCAATCAAAATATACTTTATTGTCGGAAAATAAATTTCATTGACAAAGCATGATCTTAAATAATGTGCAAGTAATTAAAAATTATCGGGTTATAAAAAAAAAAAAAGAGGTACAATCAATAAAATAAAATAAAAAATAAACATAAACATAAATGTCAAAGCATAATCCTAAGCAACACATGTACAATTTTTACTACATCAAACTATAGTCATATAGAAGGTACAGCCAATATAGAAAAAACATGAAGGTTGCGGTCAGAACAAAACAAAACAATGAAACAAACAAAATTAAAATTTTTCATTTAAAAATTCATTAATATGATAGTAGGCTTTTCCATGTAAAAATGTTTTGAGCTCTAGTCTAAACTTTTTAAAACCACCTATCTGCCTTAAGTTAACAGGCAGATGATTAAAAATTTGCCTACTTTTATAAATTAGTGAATTTTGCGTCAATGCAGTCTTGGGTATAGGAAGCTGAATTTTAAGAAGTTGCCTAGTTGGATAAGTTCTTGGATATTCTAACTCATCATAATGTTTTTTGTGCATAAGGCAAGCAGTTTCCATGATAAATATACAGCATACTGTAAGTATTTTATGTTTTAAAAATAGTGGCTTGCAATGCTCCCAATATCCAACCTTACACAAATAGCGCACTGCTCTCTTTTGAATGACAAAAACAGAATCAAACAATTTATTAGAACAGTTACCCCAAAATGCAATGCCATACCTGATATGAGATTCAACCAACGAGAAATAAACCAACTTAGCAGTATTCAAACCAAGTTCATTTGACGCTATTCTTACAGCATAGCAACCACTTGCCAATCGTTTGTTTAGATTTGTAACGTGCTCATTAAACTTAAGTTGAGTATCAACATGAACACCAAGAAATGTACAGCTAGTTTTATTTTCAATTGTGTCTGTGTCTAATAATAAATCATCAAAAAAAAATTTAAATGTCAATATGTTGGTTTTCTTCGAGGTTTTCTTAGAGTTAAAACAAAGCAAGTTAGAGTCACACCAGCTCTTTACAAGATTTAGGTCTTCAGAAATAATCTTTTTCAACTCTTCAATATTTTTTCCGTTCCAGGACAGAGTAATGTCATCAGCGAATGATGTTATTTTAGCTCTAATGGGGAGGTGATTAATATCATTTAAATAAAGTAAAAACAATATTGGTCCCAACACAGATCCTTGTGGAACACCATTGGTCACAGCCAAGTTTGACGACTGAGTATCACCAATCTTAACAAATTGTTCTCTTCCCGAGAAATAAGATTCAAACCATGAGTATGAGATTCCTCCGAAGCCATAAATTTCTGGTTTTTTAAGCATTATTTTATGATTTACGCAATCAAAGGCTTTAGAGAAATCACAGAACACAACGGCGACAAGCTCACTTTCATTAAGACTGACGAATACCTGTTCCAAAAGATTAAACATTGCATCATGGGTGCCCTTTAATGGTTGGAATCCAAATTGAATGTCACTTATTATGTTGTGTTTTGAAAAATATTTTAACATTCTTTCTTTAACTAACTTTTCAACTATTTTTGACAACCTCGAGAGAAGTGATATTGGTCGATAATTACATGGGTTGTCCAATTCGCCACCCTTATAAAGAGGCAAAACAATAGCTTTTTTCAGGCAGTCTGGAAATACTCCTGTTAAAAATGAAATATTAATACATTCAGACAAGACATATAATGCATTATCAGGCAAGTTTCTAAGCAAATTTATTGAAACATTATCGTGCCCACTGCCCACTGAATTTATTGTTTTTTATTCCTCTAAAGATTTCATTAAGTTCTAATACGTTTGTAGTTTCCAGTACAAATGTGTCATTTATTTTAACATCCAATAAATAAGAACCAGGATCCACATTACTTTTCAAGTTTTGTTGTAAAGTATCAGCAACACTACAGTAGAAGTTGTTGAGAATATTGGGATCTAATTTAACATCTGTTTGAAGAACTGAGTTTTTACCAGTTAACTGATTAATTATTTTCCAGTTTTCTTTGCTGGCATTTTTGGAGGAGTTTATTCTATTCTGATAAAACTTTTCCTTAGCTGCTTTTAAAACACTTTTGTAAATTTTTCTATATCTGCAGAAATAACTGACGAACTGAGGACAAGGGTTCTGTTTTGGGTCCTCTTCTATTCCTGTTATTCATCAACGATCTGGCAAGCCTGAAAATTGATGGCAAATTTACCCTTTTCGCGGATGACACAACTGTCTTATGGCACGGTCGCGATTCAGCCTCTTTAAAGAGGTCTATTTCTGGTGACCTCGAGAAAATTAAAGTTTGGTGTGACTCCAACTTTTTGGTTCTGAACTTTGACAAAACAAATATTGTTAGCTTTAAGTGTGACTTGGAGGACTTGGTTATTGGGGATAATATTATTAAAAGTCGCCCTGATACCAAGTTTCTTGGACTTGTTATTGACAGGGAACTAAGGTTTGAGTCGCATATTGTTGGTCTGGGCAGAAAAATAGCATCAGGGTGCTATGCAGTTAGAGTTACCGTTAATGAACTGGGCCCCTCAATGGGACGAACCATCTATTACGCACTTATTGAGTCACGTCTTAGATATGGTATATGCTTCTGGGGTATGTCAAACTTACATCTTCTAAATACATTGTTTGTTTTACAAAAGCGAGCAGTAAGATATATATGTCGTGCAAGGCCGAGAGATTCGTGCAAACCTCTGTTCTTGAACCAACAAATCCTGACTTTCTACAGTCTGTTTATTTTAGAAACCGTGTGTATTGTCTACAAAAACCATCAGAGCTTTTCACCCCGCAGTTCAAACTACAATACGCGACAGTACCTCAATTTGCCATTGCCCATTCCTACATCGACTTTAACCAAAAAATCGGTTATATTTATATATGAAAGTATCAAACTGTATAATTACTTACCCAATGAGGTGAAGATGCTTCCTACAATGAAACAATTTAAAAAAGGAGTTCGGCCGATTTTAGTTGGTAAGGCCTATTATAGTGTGGACTAATTTTATAATGATTTTAATTGACATTTAGCATTCTGCATATTTTGTTTTTTGTATTTTATTTAATTGTTTATATATTGTCAAAACCTAGTCATGTATTTTTGTTTTGTTCAGTATTTTATAATTTACACATTAGGTTTAAGTTTTACAGCTCTATTCACCATTTTGTTTGTTAGTTCTGATTTTTTATTTTTAAATTTTAATTTTGATTATTGATGATTTTTGTTTATAATGTATATGCTTTGTCAACAAGACTATTGTCTTATAAGATAATAAAGCTTATTTTGATTTGATGATTTTGATTCAATCAGTAAATTTGCGAATATTTTGTAACGAACGCATGTTTTGCTAGCTTAAGTTAAAGCTAGCAGAACAGTCATTTTCGCGAAAAATTAAGGAGCCTCAAATATCTCATTGGAGCATTTAATTAGCCTTTAATGAGCCTTTAATGGTCCATGTATTGATTCTGCTGACTTTGCTCTTCCAGCTTAAGAGACGTAAAATTCTATCCAGTTTAGCAGTTTGTAAAGCCCCATAGAGTGTGTCAGTCTGTCAAGGCTATGCAGGACTTTCAGCACTTTATTCTGCAAAACCTGGACAGAGTCAAAATTAACTCGGCCGCACATTCCCCACACAACTTTTGAAATATAGTTAGTTTTAAATCTTGTTTTGGTCGGTAAATAATAATAATAAAAATACATAATAATAATACACAGGTAAAGTTGTGAAATCATTTGTGTTTCAATAGGTACCCACAGACACAGTTTTTCTTCCAATAACATCTTCAGTATTATCATGGTCAAGCTTGTTATCAAGAATCAAGGTACCTTATTATTGTCAAACATTGTACCAAAATTCAAATTTTTGAATGCAAATTACCAAACCTTGAACAATGAGAAATAAATACAATTTTCAATTTAGATGACTATATTTGTTTGTATTGTGGTGGTGTTCTTTAGATCTTTTAGGTCTTTCTTTCTTGTACTATTTGTAATTTATAACTCCTAGTATTGATTTTAAATAAATAACAACCTATAAATTTACTTATCTGATTGTTTACCTTTACAAAAGTAACTCATTTAAGACGCAGCAAGTTTCAAAATTAGAACGCAATTAAAATGAGGGAAATAACTGTGATCTCTATTATAACCAGATTATCAAAACGTTTCAAAGAAAATCAATTTTTTTTTGTGTAACCTACTTTCAAAACAAAAGGGTTTCATGAATTTTATATTTTTGATTTTATTTTGAACTATGAGTTAATTAATGAGCGCTAGGGCTTGGGTTCAATTGAGAGATTTTGAGGAAAGTTTTAGTTTATTTTTAAACATTCAAAAGTTGATATGGCTGCTAATTTGTGGTTGTCAAAAGGGAATCATACAAAGAAAAATTGTTGACTGGAACCTTGGGAAGGCTACTTGAAGGAAAAAAATATAGTGAAAAGAAACTTACCTCGCCGTTCGTTATGTTAATTCCCAAATAAATATCACCAAATGAGCCACTGCCGATTTTCCGAACTAAACGATATTTGCCACCCACTATGTACTCTGGTTTTCCGATTATGTGTGTCGCCATGATTAACAATAATTATATTTCAAGTCCGAGTTTAACAAAAAAAAAGCCTTGCAAAATTTGGAATACTGAAGAGAAAGAGAAATCCGATTCTTGCAAGAAATAACTTGTCTGTGTAGTTCCTCTAGCACGCCGACATATTTCTTTCTTCGTGATAAATTTTTAGTGACTGATCTTTCCCAGTGACATTAGGCAACTGTCGTCCCTCTGGCGGACAGTTTCAAAAACTAATGACAATTTAAAATTAAAATCAATATTTTTAAATTATGATTGTAAAATGATATCACCTGGATTTTAAAGTAATTTTCCAAATTATATTAGGCTGATAATAAGACGCCAGTCGATCTAAACGGTTGATGATAAGCTAAATTAAAAATAATTTTCTATTTATGGAAAACTGCCAACGGTGGCGCTCTCTATCGACAAAAAAATCAACTTTTATGGATGGCAGTTGACAAAAGAATGACATACTAGGTAGGGGTTTTCGGAAAGTTAAATAGCGATTTCGATTGGTAGATTCAATGCAATGGGTTCTAATGAGTGCTAATGGTATGTACAGTGGCTAAAATAAACCTTTACATACAGTGGCGACAATAGAGGTCTCGCCGCCATTTTCTTCCCAACCTCTTGCTACTTTTAAATATATATATACGATTTAAAAGGACATCTATCATAAAAAATTGAAATCGACGTATTTGATTACTATTATTAGGTTCATCAAATACGTTGTTTTCCATGTTTTATGATGGATATTCACTATTCACCCAAATCCCATATATTCATATTTGAAATAAGCAATAGGTGGGAACAAGATGGCCGCGTTTTCAATATAAATATATGGGATTTTGAAACCAATCAAAAATAAGACAGCAATTGTCGCCACTGTGGGTAATAGAGTCACTGTAATGGAATGTACAATGTAACCACGGATAATACACACTACTAATACAGGATAGCCTATAGCTTCTCCTCATAAGACCTGTGTACTTCAAATCCCAAGCCCCACCAATCCCACCATAGCCGCTTTCCAGTATGCACATTGGCGCGCTCTGGCGCGCTCTAGAGCACCCTTAGAGCAGGTAAAGGTAAAGGAGTAGTAACCTGGATTTGGAAAATGAAGCCGTTTTTTTCCAGGTATTTTGGCCCACAAAAAATGGCGGTTATGGCAATTCCAATAAACTATAGTCAAAAACTGGAATGCGCACACATTGCCATATCCGCCAAAAAAATGTAGCCATGAAAGACAGATGCCACAGAGGGGAATGTTGTTTTTTTCTGTTGCTCGCTGTCATATGACGTTTTCGAAAGTTTTGTCATATTTCCCTTCACAGATTTCATCGATTGGAATACGTGTTGGAAGCAATTTCCGCCATTTAACATAATGAGTGCGACAAAAACAGGTATCCCCTCCGCAGCAGCGGCACTAGGCTTCAGGTTCGTCAATATGTGTTAGCATTCCAGTTTTTGGTTATAGTTCATTGGGCAATTCAATGCTCTACCTGTATTTTGGTGCCAAACACCTGCCAAAAACTTAAGCTTCACTTTAGTTTCATAAGCACAATGGCGCGTTCCTACTCCTCATGTCCGTAGGACAGCGCTTTACCTGCTCTAAGAGAGCACCTCAGGGGCGCCACGCACTAAATTTGTACCGTTCCAGTATCATGGCGTGAGACGCCTGTCTTAGTGTCAAATATGTCAAATTTTAAAAAAATATATCTTTTTGTTTGTGCAGTATGTTTTTTTTTATTACGCATGCATCATAATCAGCGATTATCGCACGCTGCAGCGTGCATAAAATGATGTTTATGATGCGTCTACCTTTTCAAAGGTTTGCTATAGAAACGTTCGATCTACCTTCATTACCTAGATATTTACTTATCAAAATGAATGAACACTTTTAAAACATTTTTGAGATTATGATGCATTCGTAATAAAAAATAGCGTATGATATGCGTGTATAAGTGGGCATTTAAAGCCCGCGCTGCGCGTCGTGTTTAGAAATATGTCGCGCGTGCTTTAAATGCTCTCTTATACACTTATATCATAATATACTATTATTTATCAAAAATGAAAGAGAATCAAAACTATATTTTTTAAAATGTTCAATCTTGCGATATAACAAGAAATAAATAGATAAATAGCCACCCACGGATGTGACAGCTAACAGATTGACGCGTACGTATAGCTCGGGAGCTCAACGCCCCGAGTAGCTCCGGGCGTCACACTCCCATACAGGAAAGCTGCTCATGCCAAAGCACCAGTGATGACGTAAAAAGCGTGTCGTTATAATTCCGCGGACTTTTGCTTTAATGCATACATGAGCCGTTAATGTTGTGTTAACGTATGTATTAGCAGAATTAAATTCAGTTTTTTTCGATGGTGGATTTGGCTTTGGTTGAAGAAAATTAATGTTTACTCTCTGGATCAGAAGTCACCTAAAATTAAAATTTAACATCATCCTTTTTTAGGCAGCTTGTGGGCATTATTCTTGTAAAGTGTACCACCAAATAAATAAACTCAGGCACAGGAATGTTCAAAGAATGTGAAGAAAACAAAAAAATCTCTAGCGCAGCCCTGTTTCACTCTATCTGCACTGCATGCACTGCACTACTCCATCTGTTCTACTCTATCTGCACTACTCCATCTGATCTACTCTTTCTGCACCACTCTATCTGATCGGAATAGTGGAATAGTTCTGTTCGAAATAGCTCCAGTTCCTGAGCAGCATTGTTCTACTGTATCTGCAATGACGAGCTTCGTTCCAGGGATCAGAGATGGCGTGGTATACAAAATACAAAATACAAAATACAAAATAAACTTGGTATCGGTTATAAGAGATGGCGCCGTATGCGGGCTTAGTAAATTTTTTCATAAATAAATAAAATAAGTAATGAAATGACCACATTAATGACATAACAACATGCTGGTACTGTCAAAATCCCCATTAACAAAATGATCCTCCATTTATTGGATAATTCATTTATTACAAAAAATGTGATAAATGAAGAACCGCTCGACCGATTTTGTGCAAACTTCACATAAACCATCTAATAAATAGTCCGAAAAAAGCCTAAACATTTGGTTTGGCTAGGTGAGCCCGTTCTTGAGTTATAAAATTACAACGAAAAGTGGCATTAATTTTTATATATACAGGATGTTCCGAAACTATTGTGCCAAAAATTAAGGGATGATACATCTCGCCAAAATAAACGTTTTTCACTCATAAACCCATAGGCGCATGAGCTTTGGTTAGGTGATAATAGCACATTACAGTCCGCGCTGTGGTAGCTACGTTGCGCACGAAGAAACGTGTTTGAAGCAGAAACTGTGGAAGGAATGCTTGCAGTATTTATTAAAAACAATGATTCACATCAGAAGATGCTCAAAATTACGACCACCCTCAATGCATGCGTAACAGCGCTATAGCATAGCCTGCTGAACACGTTGAAAAATTCCTGGCGGTACGCGAATTTCAGCAGCTGCTGCAACAATCCTTCCCACTAACTATTCCTCTGTTTCAACTGGAGTGTCGTTCACTTTCATATGACATCATAAAAAAAAGTCGCATTCGGGTCAGGTCTGGTGAACCTGGAGGCCATGCAATAGGTGCGCCCTTAACAAACACTCTTTCCAGATTATGTTTCGTTAAGATGTTCCTTTACGGCTACGAGTAATCTGGTGGACCTCCGTCGTGTTGGTACTACATGTTTTGTCAATTGTCCGGCATACAGGGGAACAGTTTCTAACAGTTCGGGAAGGGTTTCCTGTAGTCGTTTTTTTTTCACGTATGCATTGGGGCGGGTGGTCGTAATTCTGAGCATCTTTTGATGTGAATAATTGTTGCTAATAAATACTGTAAGCATTCCTTGGGTTTTGTATTATTTAATAGCACAGTTTCTGATTCAGACACGCTTCTCCATGATTAAGGTAGCTACCACAGCGCAGACTGTAATGTGCTATTATCACCTAAGCGAAGAGCATGCGCCTATGGGTTTATAGGTAAAAAACGTTTATTTTGGCGAGATCTATCATCCCTTTATTTTTGGCACAATAGTTTCGGAACACCCTGTATAGATATATAGGATTTAAATGGACATCTATCATAAAAAATTGAAATCGACGTATTTGATGATATAATTAGGTCCGTTTGCAATATAAATATATGGGATTTTAGAACCAATCAAAAATAAGACAGCAATTGTCGCGACTGTGGGTCGAGAATCGTAAACTGTGGGTAATAGAGTCACTATAGCAATGGATGGGCAATGGTGTTTCCTTGACTGTTTTAAACCGGTTTTTAACCAATATCATAAAAGTGAAAGCGTGAAAACGGCTCTAGTTTTAATCACTGATCTCAAAAATAAATGGATAAACAAAGAACGCTTCTAATGCTGCTAATTTACGAGGTCAAAATCTAAACAAAAACAACTGACTGGGACAGCTATGAGCGTGCGCAGTAGATACATGTATTGTGCGTGCACAAAATTTGACCAATGAGAATGAAGGAATTTCAAAATTTAGAACAGTTGTTCGAAAGATAAGACACTGCGCAGGCGTTAGACTGTTCCGTTGCACAACTGTTCGTAGAATATTGACTCCAAATTTTCGCACAAATTTTGCCAATCAAGCCGTATGAATTGTTCATCCATTTATTTTTTAGATCAGTGGTTTTAATGCATTAATTAACATTCTTAGAACAACTCTTTTTTTACATCTCGTTTGCAAAGCGAGTCACTTTCGGGTTGGTTTAAATTCCAGGGTAAACGTGGAGTTATCTTAACCCGGGGGTGACTTGCTATTGAGAACCCGGCCCTATGTTAATCAAAATTAATAGTAGATTATACCACGAGTCAATAATGATAGCTATTATTCCCGAGGATTATTACGAACTGAGCCGCGTTAGCGGCGAGGGAGTAACATTCCGAGGGAATAATAGCCATTATTGCGAGTAGTATACTCTACTTTATTTACGACAAATTAATTTATTTGAGATTTTCAATGAACAAATTTCATCCGTCTCATCATTTTCAATACAAATCCACAAGCACTACACGTTTGACACTGACACTTTTGTGGAATAATGACCATTAATCCCGCTACTCGTCATTAATCCCTGGAGGAATAACATATGTCATTATACTGCCAAAATCACAAATATAATACGCACATTATACATTAGTCGTAAATAAATAATATTATTCATCATCAAGCATCAAGACAAACTTCATTCTCAGTTGTGCGAAATTCGCCATTTTTCTACATTGCTTCGACAATTTGACGTTTGATACACGCATAAAACGTCAAATTGTCGAAGCCGTGTCAAAAAAAGAGCGAATTTCACAGAACTGCGAATGAAGCTTAAGATTAAAATCTAAATTGTAAACTTCGACCGCTGGCGCGAACAGCTGACGACCTAGTTGATGATCAAGATTATCCTTGCAATGTATGTATTGGCCGG